ATTTCTCGCTCATCTTTTTGAAGAAAAATCCAGGTAAGAATTTTTCTTTCTCATCCACTGATGAATCTTGTTTTCCAAAGTTCAAAGATAGTTTTTATGGATGTTTTAGAGTGCTAATGATTCATTCTTCTCTATAGATTGCACATTTCAAGTACATGTTGTTAATAATTGGTTAGGACACATGAGCACTTCTTAAAGAAAATTCAGTAGAAACTTATGCTTTTTCACTATGCATGTAAAAAAAGCATCTGGTGTCTCAATCCTACTATAAGAGAGTGGGTTGAGACAACTCATGAAGCGAGAAAGCAACAAGCAAGTAGGTTGATATGGCAAGGAAACCAAGTAGCTCAACAAGTCAGTAAGTAGCTTGACAAGTCAAGCAAGCACCTCGACAAAGTCGTGAGAGAAAAGAGTCGTGATGTGACCAAGGAGAATGGTACATCACCCAACAACTAAAGGTGAAGTATATAAGAATGTCTAATCAAGGTACAAGAGTTTCGAGAAGCATAAGTGGTCTCAATGACGTCCAGTAAGGGTCGAGTGGGCCTCGGTTCGGGATCCCAAAAGTCGGGGTTCCATAAGTAATTTCGATGAACAACTTTGGGGTTAAGTGTGCCACAATAAGATGTGTAAGCACGTCAAGTTTCACATCAAACAGAGTTATGATGTGTCCTGTAGGTTAGTGAGTGACTCCTTGTGAAACAACGTTTACGCCTGCCAGAGTGAAAATGCCTTAAAATATACTATAGAGGGAGGCATGGTGTCAGCTCTCCACCACCCTTAGGCCAAGTGTGCCTAAGTGAGCTACCTCATGGCACATGCGTGTGTCATGTCTTGGGGGAGCATCACAAGACGAGTGTCTTGGGCGTCTTCATCAGGGACCGTATCAGGTGGCACGGGTTTGTCGATATTGTGTCTTATACCGTGGAGCAGAGATTCCGTCATATGTTTGTGTAGCGAGACGGTATGTACAAACGAGTTTGTCTGAACGCAAAAGTCACCGTACCTCATTAACTAGTCGGATAGATGGATGTCTGGAAGGTTCGGGTAGAAAAGATGGAGACCAACGGGTTAGTTCTAAAAAAATTTGCCTGAATCTATAATAAAGTGAAATGACGACTCAAGGTATTGTTGGGCTCCCATTGTGAATTATAAGCTTGTTCTGACCCATTCGTAGGTCATGACTCATTGACGTCCTTGCTTGGTGTGGAAGTAGAACGCCTGAAAGTGCAATAACCAAGATGTTGAGAAATGATGGGACGAAACGTTTAAATGTCCTTGGCCTAGAGTGAGAGGAAAGGTTGAGCTCTGTAGCTTGGCCTAGAGTTGAGGCAGGCCGATTAGAGTCGTGATCAAAGATATGATGCACGAAGAAGCGACGTGCATTACCAAGAATGAATCAAATTTCATGCGTAGTTATGACCACCTGTGTGAGACTAAGCCAACGATGAGCGGAAAAATGCTTTTCCATGTGATTAGTTGAGTGAACGTTCAAGATGGTATCATGATGTGAAAATATAATGAAGCTTGGTCGAGAAAGAAATAACTTCGCCTAAGGTCTAATGAAGCCACAAGGGGTGCGAAAAATAGTATTAAGGCTAAAGTTGCTCGTAAGGACGGCTATGATTGAGCTAAGTTCATGGCACCGCATGATCAAAAAAATACGACCGTGAAATCTAGCACTTTTTTTTTTGGGATTTTAGTAAACACTCATTTCGAGTGGAGGCTAGCAAGAACATTTCCAAAGTCAACATTCCAAGTTAAGTCGACGCTGTTGGAGACAGTATGAGTTTGGTTGAACAAATTCCATGATTTTCGCTCCAAATTCCTCATGTTTTGATGGCAAGTTGGTAACCACACCAGCTCCTATAAATTCAAGGGCTTTCTCAGCAGTGGATCATCTTAGTTCATCACGTTTTTCAGTTTAGAATTACCTTCGTTCCTCATTCTTTTTAGTTCTAGGTTTTATAATTCTTAGTTTATCAAATTAAATTCATTTAAGTCTTATTCTGATTCTTTTTACACTTCATCTCTGTTGTACTTCATTTATTTCATCTCTAAACTAGGGGTGTACACGGGTTGGGTTAAGGGAGTTTTTTGGACCAACCGAATTTTTGGGTTGGTTGATTTTGCTACCCGAGAGATTTGAACAAATTATCCAACCTGACCCAACTCAACCCTTAGATTTTCGGGTTGCTGAAATGAGAAAAACAAAATAGAGAAGTGAAACTGAAAGAGACAAAAACAGACAAGGAAAGGGAAAAAGAGAAGTTTAAAATTTTTTTTCCAGAAATAATCAATTTGTTCTTGCTAGTTCATGAGAGAACAATATCAGAGGGATAATACCTAATAATAGAGTATTCAAAAAGAAGAAAAACTTCATTTTTCCATTAAAACAAATACCAAGGTGGTAAATTAATGGGGCGGCGGAGACGAACTGCGGCCTAATGTGGTGGTGGAAGGAGTGGCTAGATGAAGCAGAAGAGATGAATGGCTAGACTCGACAATAGCGAAGAGAGGTGGTTGCATGCAACAACGATGGAGAGTGGCAGAGACGAGTGGCTAGCTACGGTGGAGAGCGGTGGAGAAGAGTGGTCGGCATGAGAAGAAGGCTAACTGTGGAAGGGGCTGCACCGGGTGAGAAAGACAAGGGGCGGGCGGCGTGAGAATAAGGGGGGAGAGAAAAGAGAGAAAGAAAAGGGACTGGGGGCATGAGAACTCAAAAGAAAGGGGAAGAGAAAAAACCCAAGATTATAAAGTATATATTAATATTACTTTTTTTTAATTTAAGAAATAGTCGGTTCGGTTTGGGTTGAATCGATCAAAAATTTTTTAATCCCGTAAACCGAACCGATTTTTCGGTTAAGCAAAAATTCAACCCAACCCAAACCGCTTCTTTTTAAACCCAACCCAACCCTTACGGTTTGGGTTGGATTTGTTGGGTTGTCGATTTTTTTGAACACCCCTACTTTAAATACTTTCTAGCGAGTTTTATCTCCCTTCAAGCTCGAAAGAGAAAAATGTTAAGCTAGGGCTCATTGTTACTTTTGTTAAGAAATCAATGACAAAAATTTCTTGTATTTCTATGAGTACTTTATACACTTTAATTATGAACTAAATTAATTTTTCAACCTCTCTGTGAAATGCCTTAGGAAAATGAATTAAAATACAACACGAGAGAAAAGTTACAGGTAGTGCCTGACGCTACTGGTTAACTCCTCAACATATTTTCTCAAGTGATTTCTTAAATTGGCCGCAAATAAGTTTGCTAAACTAAAGCCCTAATATTGAACGAGTTAGATTAAGTGTTTAATAGGGAGTTGATATGGGATGTAATTTAGACATAAGCATAAAATATGATCCGAAACATAGCTCCTCTGACCCATAAAAGAAGAGAAGTTGGTAGTAATTTCTAGCTTATAATCACGCATAGACATATGACTAATGGTTGCCCTAGACTCTAAAGTAGCCAAAAGCAATTTGCAATAAGAATAGAATTCAGTTTCCAGTAAAAATCAGAAAAATGTTTGACACATTTTTCATAATTGTGTTGTTTCTTTCAAAACTAAAGCATAAAGCATATAGGTTGTATTTAATCAGTAGCTTGATAGTTTTAAATCCAAACCATGACTTCATCAACTATTTTTACCAATAAACCTAATTGCAATTTGAAACTCTTCACAATATCTTTTTTGAATCAAAGTCTCTATAGATATGAACTCAGAATACAATTTTCTTATATTACTTGTAGCAGTATGCACTTACACACAACCTCTTTTCCAATTAAGGTAGAGATGCAACATCCATACTAGTATGGATCTGTTGCTAGAGAGGGAACTTGCAGATTTTGAGAGTGGGTCTACCCATCGCTAGAGAGAGAACTTGCAGATTTTTAGAGTGGGTCTACCCATCGCTAGAGAGGGCAAAACCGGTCGGTACAAAAGAAAAGGAAACATATTCTTATCCCTCTCATTGTATCTTCATAGAATCACCAAATACCTTACAACATAATACATTGTCATCTCTTTCAATGCAGTGCAACTCATCTCATAAAATTAAAACTGAAAAGAAAAAGCTTCGACAACAAAAGTGCAAAACCGTCACTCATCACCTACGAATTTTGTGAGGAACAAATTTTTTTTGGAAAGATAAAGAAGGAGATAGAGGAAAGAGGGAAGAATCACAAATTTTATGATGAAGAAACTTTTTAGAAAGAGAAGAAGAGAGAGACGAGAAATAGGAGGGAAATTAAAAATTGATTTTCGTAGTTTCCAAGAAAAGAGAAGGGTAGTTGGTGTCTTTTGACATTCTTGCTAACAATAGCAAAATGATATAAATTTTAGGGTCCGTTGGGTATGCAATCTAAATTTTTGTTTTTTGTTTTTAGATTTATACATGTTTCACATATTTATTTTTGAAAATTGTTTTTCGATTACGAGATCTATACAGTTAAAATTCTGAAAACATTATTTTTATATTTTAAGTATTTTCAGATTTTGAATTGAAACTTTCAAATACAGAATTACATCAACAAAGATAAAAACTTTTGATAAATATATTATATAATGTTATAAATTCATTTTATTTTTGTTAAAATAAAAAAATGTAAAATATAAAATATCGGTAACAATTGTACTAAATTTATAATATGATAATAAATCAATTAATATTATTTTAGATTTAACTAAATATTTAGTTCTATAAATTGTTAAAACTTTCATAAAAGCGAGACTAAGCAATAAAATATCTCGTATTTTTTCTTCTGCCTCGGGTTGTCTCACGATCCGCTTGGTCAGCAGCACGGCAAGAGTACCTTGACTAACCTCAAGTCCAACGACTAACAAACAGAAGTAATAGAAATGAGTAGATTCATAATGAATTCCTCGAATTATCAATAGTTTAGAAATATACTATAATTTTTCTACCAAACATATTTGAGAATAAAAAAAGAAAAAAAAACTCTGTTTCGATTTGAATCCCTTATTTCTTACCAAGTTGGGCAGAAGAGCCCCAAAAAACAAAAATCCCAAATTTTCAAGTCAAAATGGAATATTTCCCAAGTATTTTCTAGTTGTTCATTTCAGCTTGGTTCATCCTCACCTTCCAAAACCTGCACCTCCACCGTCGTCCCTTCACAGAATCAACAGCACTGGGAACGGAGAGTCGCAATCGCATGCGTTGTGTTTCTCCTCTCCAAGAAGTTTTCGAACTACATGCAAGAATTTCTCAGCTGTAAGATTCCGCTCATGACTACGAAGGCATCATTTCTGGATTTCGATTTTTCCAAGGTCACTCCGGTGTCTCTGTCTTCTCCCTGCGCCTGTCCTTCCCGTCCTTCGTCTTGTAAGCCATTGCCTCTACCTCGATTCTCTCTCAGACTCAATCCATTGCATCTTGCCTTTCATGGTCCCAAGGGCTTACTAAGAATTAACAAGGGGAGCGGTTCGTTGAGACGCCGCATTGTGGCTGTGGCACATGCCGCGCCCGACCGCCTTGATGGGAACGAGTCTGAAGAGGTACGTTAGAGACAGTAATTTTGGTTATATACATTGCTGCTTTCTGTCTCGGTATGGGGTGGTTGGTGGAAGAGGATGAAAGAAAGGAACTCAGGTTGATTTGTTTGTTTTTTGTTCTTTTGCCAATTTGGAATGGGTCGAAGGGGAGGAGTCAATTGGGTGAATTTTGAAGACTTGGGTGCTAGTTTAACTAGGAGGATGGGGTAGCTTACATGGTGTGGATCAATGTTTTAAAAGGCTAAAGGTGGCCTCGAGGCTTTTTCTCTTGAAAAGGCGAGGCGTAAGCCTCAAGGCGGTATGAGGCGTAAGCCTCAATTTTAATTAAAAGAATTAAACAAATCCTAAATTTGTGTGGTCAAGTATTACCAAACATAATAGTTATATAAAATTATCAAAATATCCACCTGTTACTTGTCACTCAAAAAAAATTCTAAAAAAACATCATAACATCAATATTATTATCACCAATAGAACTTACTTATTCTATAAATTGTTRTATAAATTATTGTCTTCAATATTTTTAAAGTCTAGGTAGTAAAAGTAGTAATAGATCGAATTGTTACAACTCCTGCTTAGGATTCCATACAAAAAAAACCTTGATATTTTTTAAGAATTGGAAAAATTAATAGTATTCTTGTAATCATTACAAGAGGCGTATACTTTAAGCCTCAGTGCGTTTTCAAAGAGGCGTAAGCCTCTTCTATGCGAGGCGTAAGTCTCTTATAGTCCAAAGAAGGCATAAGACTTGAGGCTAAAAGTTAGAGCCTTGCCTCGAGGCGGGCCTCAAGGCGTATGCCTCAAAAGCCTTTTAAAACATTGGTGTGGATTAGATGCACACATGGTGGGTAGGGGTTTTGGATTACAAGTTTTTTTGTTTCAATGTGGGAAATTGAAACTTAATTGAAGTTAGAGTTCAGAAATCAATGGTAACAATTCGTGGGTAATCGTTATAGTATTATTCAATTTGGAGAGATTGAAGGATTACTAATAATTTTTCTGCCGCAGCTCAGTTGAAACGGGAATTCATTCTAAGCTGTAAATTACTACACTTGGGGAATAAAAAGGTTTATGAATTTGGCCTTTTTTAAGCTACAGTATTAAACACATACACATAGCCCCCTTAAACTACCGGTTTTGTACTTGGCCAAGTTTATGTTGTGACCATTTCTTGTACTATCAAATTAATTAACTGAAAATGACTATCTTGTAGGAAGTTGAGGGAGGTCAAAAGTTATCATTTCAAGAGGATCCAATCTCAGAACAACAACATAAAAAAAATCAATTGACGAAACGCATTGTTTTTGGGCTTGGAATTGGAATAACTGTTGGCATTGTCGTATTGGCTGGAGGATGGGTGTTCACTGTGGCTGTTGCTGCATGTATTTTTGTTGGAGCACGTGAGTATTTTGAATTGGTCAGGAGCCATGGGATCACTGCAGGAATGACACCCCCACCTCGATATGTTTCACGGATTTGCTCAGTTATTTGTGCTCTCATGCCCATTCTTAGCTTGTACGACCAGTCTCAATCTCAATATTATTACTTTTTTGCAACTATGGTAAATTTTCATAGGAATAGAATTATTAATTGCTTAACGCTTTCATTATGAATCATTAACTCATCTTTTCGGTCTTTTCTTTTGCTTCCATCATTCTATTATTGTAATTTCATATTTGAAGCCAAAAGATAGTTGTATTGAGGAAAATTGCAATAGTAATCACATTGACTTGCCTCTTATAAACTTTACTTTTGGGTAGTCATCATTATTTGATTTTAATATTGTCTAATGGTGCAATTTAGATGATTACGACCTTACTTGAACAAGATTTGTTATGTAGGAAATACTACTATGTCCTTGAGAATAGTAGTCTAGATGATCTTACTAATCTACTACCTCAGCTCCCTTGTGAGTAATCTGAACTGCAAATGTTGTAAATTTGTAGCAGAACTATCCTTATTCGATGATAAAATTAGGTATTATGAATAGTTGCATGTCAAGATGGCTTTAGTTATATGGCTTGCAATTTTTTGAGCTCTTTGGCTGATAGATTTATATTCGCCCTTAATTCCCCGCTCCTATTCGAGGGTAGCTGGTTAATGATTACGATTCTTCATATTAAAGAATAACGAGATTCTTGGTTGATGGATTCATTTGTTGGAATGAGAGTTATAACTTAGGGCTCAGTTTATGCGAAATAATAAGTCAGCTCTTGATTGAGTTAGGCTTCAATGTCAAGTTCTAACCAACTCTTGGTTTCTTTAATGAGAAAACAAAACCAACCTTAGGCTTCAGTTTATGTGAAATAACTGAGTTAGGCTTCTGTTATCAACCTTACAAGAGTTTTAGCCAACTATTATAACAAGAGACATTGTTCATGTATATGCTCTAGCTTGAGAGAGTGTTATGGTATGTCTATTGATGTAAACAGGAGTTTTTTAGTCTCTTGCCCTTTACTGTAATTTTATACTCAATTAGTTTGTGGCTCCCATGTACAAACATTTACTTTTAGTGTATGGCATATTCTCTCATCTCTCATATTATGGAAGAAAGTTCATAGTCTAGTTTAAGCTGTGGGTGGACTTTGGTGGTGAATAGGATAATTTTAGACAAGTGGAAGATAATGCTTAGGATAGTTGGCAGAGGGAATGTTGCTCCCTTTTGGAAGTGAAGAGAGCTTTGGTATTACAGATTAACTGGAAAGTTTAGGCGGCCTTTTGTTGGGTTATTTTTATATGCCCTTGTATTTTATTTCATTTCTCCCAATGAAGCTCGGTTTTTCATAAAAAGAAGGGGAAAGTTAAGGCGGCATGTAGGTCATGTGAAAAGGTACAGGGAATTGTGGTGGCAAGGGCTAGCGGATTACTCGAGGAAGTTAGGGTGTCTCTCTCTATCTCTCTCTCTCTCTCTCTTTTATTAAAAAAGTAAAATACGAACTTTTCATTGAAATGATGAAAAGGAACAAAAGTTGTTCCAAGATACAAACTCCCGAAGGAATGAGAAAGAAAAATAAAGGGAAGAGAAGAACAAAAGGTAGGAAGTTGAAAGATTTAATAGCATGAACTATGATAAAACAAATTAAACATTATAAAGGATTGGTAGGAAAACGACTATGATGGAGTTGATAAAAAAAGTTACATTTAAAGTTTGGTCCTTGAAATTGAGCGTATATGTCGATTTAGCCCTGAACATTAAAAAAGGAATTCAATTTTGTGTGAAATAGGTCAATTAAGGTTTACATGGTGCGCTGCGGCAACTAAAACATGCTAGGTGAGCTAACTTTAGAAGGACGGGCTAATACGGTAAGTTTAGGGCTTAGAGAACTGGGTGAATTATCTAGAAATTTCTAGCCCCTTTATCGTGTGGTGTAGTCTCAAAATGAGAGAAGAGAAGTTTTATTCTAATGCTTGAGAGGATACAAAGAGAGCTTTCTATTTATAGACAAATAGGCTACACTAAAGGCTTGTAAGCTAACAAGGTAAACTAACTAAACAACTAGCCCATAACAAACTTATTGTATAGTTAGTTACATCATCGTGCCTTCTTGAAATTGTTATGGTGTTGTCATGTAATCATTAAATCGATAAAGTTAATGGTAGAGATCTATTAAGCAAAAGAGATTCTAGCATGCTGCAGTTTCCGTGTTGAAGAGTCCTATTAAGCAAAAAGAAGTTTTTTTGTCCCCTTCTTTTATCCAAGTTGCTTTAGATTTCACAATAAGAAGAAGAGACTATGGAGGAGAGGGTTGCTTAAATTTGATTTAGGAAAAATTATGATAAGGTTTGATTCAGAAATTTTGCTGCCTATTCTTGAAAGAAAAAAGTTTTGGCAATAAATGAGTAATTTGGAGCACTGCATTCAACACCATGTTTTTTTTCCGTTTTCTAAATGGAAGACCAAGATGTAAAAAAAAGTTTCAAGAGGATTGAGACATGCTGATTTGCTTTCTCCTTTTCTCTTTGGATTGGTGGGAGATGTTCTTAGTAGATTGATTAAAGGATCTTAATTCTCTCTTTTAAGGAAGGCCAATCTCCCTCTTTAAAGGTTTTTGTTTGCAACAACGAAAAGAAAACAACTGGCAAAGAAGACGCTTGATTGTCAAAGAGGACATTTTGAGCTCTAAAGATCAAGGGGTTCCGCCTTATTTTGAAGCTGTTGGAATTACTTTAGTCCCAATCTTACAAAATCATTGAAGATCGTCTGTTTTTGTGTAGTGGTGCAGTTCGGATTCACTAGATCTTAAGATCTAGTTTTCAGATACTTTTTTAATAAAATTCATTAGAATTGCTTAGCTTTCCCTTGGCCATCGCTGTAAGGTATTTTCGAAGAGCTTCCTGTGAAAATCAAGAGTTCTTGTTCTGGAGAGGAGTTTGTTTGGTGCAATGGTTCTCGAGCTTCGTTGGTATTGGTTTTGAGAGTCTCGGCCATTGGTGTTTATTTTTTCTGTTGGCTTGAAGGTGGAGGCTTCTGTGAAGTTTTTTAATTCGTCATCCAGAGATTCTTGCTCGTTGCTTTTGGTTATGTTCTTTTTAGCTCCTCAGTCTGCGGCTTGGCGGATGTTTTGGTTTCTTTTCAGCAGGCGGTCTTCTTTGTTTTGCATACTTTGTATTTGAAAGCTTAGCAGGCCTCTGTTTTTTTTAGTTTTTTGTTATTTTTTTGGCTTTTGTCTTTTTGGTGTTGTTTGATAGTTTGTAGTTGGTGGTCTTAGTCTTTGGTTTTCGGTTCCTTGGAGGTTAATTTAATTTAATTTTTTCTCAAACATTTGTCTTCCTCTTCATATAACCAATGAAAAACATTTGTCTTCCTTTTCATATAACCAATGAAAAATTTGTTTCTTGTTTAAAAAAAAAAGTAGATTGATTAAAAAGGTGTGGAGGAAGAAGTGTTGGGAAAGTTTTAAAGTTGGAAAGAGAGGGTTCATGTCTCTCATCTTCAATTCATGGACAATACAATTTTTTTTTCTTTGTGAAGATATAAAATTGGAAACATGTTTAAAGCTTTGGGAATGTTTGAAGGTAAACATAGAGAAACAAGTGTTATGTGGTATAAATATGGAGGAAATGTCATCTTTCTAGAACCCCTTTATTGTCCTAATTGTGGTTGGTACAAGTTCCCACGAAGGTCAAATTATTTGCATGGGGGAATTAACACTTTGGACTAGATTCAAAGGCAATTTTCCTCCGTGTTTGGGGCTGCAGTGGTGCATTCTGTATAGGAGAGGAGAGCGTTTGAGGATTTGGTTCATATCCTTTGAAGATTCCAGTTTGCTGCCTTTATTTGTGACCTGTTTTCTGAGATTGTATTCCAGTTTGCTGCCTTTATTTGCGACCTGTTTTCTGAGATCGTTGGAGTATGCTTGGTTCATAACAATGATTGTGGTCTCATCATGGAGGAGGTTCGGCTTCGTCCTCCTTTTCAGGATTAGAGTCGTGCTCTTTGAATCACTAGGTTTTTTGCTGTTTTATGGAGTATTGAATGGAGAGAAAATAGAGAATTACTCGAGGTCTAATGTTTCTCTAGGCATCTGTAACAAAGAATTTTTGTACTTATCCTTTAGGTTTTGTTCATTCTGATTGGAGCCATTTTTCATCTTGTTAGACTTTTTGTTTGGCTCCTTTTATGGGCTGTTGTTTTTGTAAGCCCTTTTTTACTTTCATTTTTTTCTCTAGAAAAAGTAAATAAGGAGGTTAGTTGAATTAAAAAGAATGGTTATTCTTTTTGGGTGTATACTGGAAGAATTACCCATGACCTATTTAGGTATGCCTCTAGGGATAATCCTAGGAGACATGGTTTTTGTAGAATTGTAGAGGAGAGGTTGTAAAGGAAATTTTGATATTGGAAAATTCTCTGTTTATATAAAAGAGGTTGTTTTATTAGACCATATAGTGTTGGGAAGTTTTCCCACGTATTTTGTGACAATTTGGATTATGAGAATGGTGGTAGGGGATTTAGAAAGAAGAAAATGTGATCTTTAACGGGAATATGGGATGGGGATAAGGTGGGTAATGTGAGTCACCTTGTTAGATTGGAGGCATCTATCCAAATTACAAAGGGTGGATTTGCAGTTGCTAATTTAAGAAAAAGGAATATAGCTTTGTTGGTAAAGTTGCTTTGGAGATTCCAAAAGGAACTGTTAGAGTATATATATAATAATATAAAATATACTAATATAAACATGATAGTTTTCCTTTGAGAGTACTTATCGGGATAAGAATGAGTTTTTTTTTTCAAAAATCATAGATGGTCGGCAAGTATGATGGTCTTAATGATGATCCTGCACGTATTTCGACAGCATCATGGTTGTTACAGTCGGCGCTTTGCGTTGATGATACTGGGGTGGGCTTCCTTGATATTAAGGTAGCAAAGTGGTCGGGAATTGGCTGAGGAAGAGGAAGAACCTGAACTTTTATTATCTCTAGCTGTTGGAACAGGGGCGGTTGAAGAAAGTCGTCTGGAGATTCGAATGCCTGCCACAAATCCAATATAACACCTATGGGTACATAAGACATGTATT